GCCTTTAAAAGGGCACTAAGGTTTTAGGTAGTAAGTAGGTGTTTAAGAAGAAAACTAGCGTTAATAGTTTAGTAGTACGCTATAAGGCCTGTTAGGTAGTTAAAGGATATAAGTAACGTTATAGGCGTAATTACGATTAGACTTACGCTAGGGTAGCTAAAAGTATAACTTAGAAGGTAATCCTAGCCCTAGTAGCTAAGAAAGACTAAGAGACAGAACAAATAGACTACGTTATAGCCTTTCTAAATAAGGAAGCTAATAAGGATATATATATAGAACTTCTAACTAGCTCTAGTAAAGATAATACTTATGTCTATAAGCTTAACAAGGCTTTGTATAGTTTAAAGTAGGCTCTATAGTTATAGTAGCTAAAGCTACGTTAAGTACTTATTAAGCTAGGCTTTAAGCCCTTAATAGCCGACGATTATATATATTAATACCCTAATAGTAGATTAATTGTTATAACTTATATAGACGACTTTCTTCTAGTTAGCCTAAAGAGGAAAGAGCTAACTAATCTAAAAGTAGCCTTATAAAGCGCGTTTAAGATAAAGGACTTAGGCCTCTACTACTACTTTATAAGCGTTAAGATCGTTAGGAACAAGGCTAACAGGATTATATCCCTTATATAAGACGCTTACGTTAATAAGGTACTAAAACGCTTTAAGATAAGTAACTATAAAGCCTCTAAAACACTATTAGATCTAGCTTACGTAAAGCTTATAGTTTTAAACCTAGAACACGCTATAGTAGATTAGGTTAAGCTATATTAGTAGATCGTTAGTTCCCTTATATATCTATTAACGTAAATATAGCTAGATCTATACTATTTAATGTCTGTATTGTTACGCTATCTTACAAATCCTTCTACTAACTATATAAGCGCTATAAAACACGCGTTACGTTACCTAAAAGGTACGCCTAACTTAGGAATTATATACAAGATAAGTAAAGGAGCGTTAGAAGGACTATATAGATATAGCGATTCGGACTACACTAGTTATATAGAAACGCAAAGATTAACTATTAGGTATTTATTTAACTACTATAGTAGCGCGATATCCTTTAGATTAAAACAGCTATAAGTAGTAGTACTCTTCTCTATAGAAACCAAATACTACGGGTTATTAAACGCTATAAGAGAGGCTACTTAGCTAAGGTAGCTGTTCTATAAGTTAGGAGTCAACTCTAAAGATACTAAAACGATCTAAATATATAGTAATAACTAAGGATCCTTAGCGCTAATAGATAACCTAGTTATTTACTAGAGAACTAAGTATATCGACGTGTAGCACTACTATATTTAAGAGTAAGTCGCGCTAGGCAAAATAGAGGTTTAGTTTAAGCGTATAGAGGATATAGCGGCTAACGGACTTACTAAGGCTCTAAAGGGGCTAAAACACACTAAGTTCTTAAAGCTATTAAATCTGTATACTATAGCTATCCTAATTACCTAATTAGGACGTTTCCTTATTTTTATTTCCTCTTTTAGTATTAAAAGTAGCAGAATCTTACCGGTTTACTATTTCTATTTCCCTTTATAGTAATAGGGCGGCAGAATCTTACCGGTCTACTATTTCTATTTCCTCTTTTAGTATCTTACTTAGTAGAACAGTAGGCGGTATAGAGTTTAGGCTGAATTTAGGTAGATAAGACGTTATAGCCTTATCACGTAGGGTTAGTAGTCACGGGACTAGGATGCTCTAGAGGCCCTAGTCTAACCTAATCGGGGTTAGCAACCTGCCAAAAAGTTAGTTGTTTACTATTACTATACAGGCACTCTGTATGATTACTTTACTTAGTCAATTTAATTTATTGGTTCCTGCGATACGACGATAGATCGAATATCCCGTGTAACATTATATATATATATATATCACCTTACCTTACATTACCCCACATAATCACAAAATCATTCATTAGGCATAGCAGTAAAGTCTCACAAGTCATCATATATATACCTACCTACCTTACTATAGACAAGAACCCGCATCTCCCCCCCCTTATTTCTAGTAGCTCAAATAAAGAATTAAGTTTAGCGCATCCAAGCAGGCGAAAACCTCGCTAAATTCCTCTTGCTAAAACCAACGACAACGTTCCTCCCCAACCCCCCTCCTTCTCCCCTCCTTAGGCATGTTTATCAGTACTTAGGTATCTAATCCTATAGTTTCTTTCTATATACCTACCGGGTAGGGCCCCGAATACACATAGCGGGATTATGTGGAGTTGATTTGTATACAGTATCGGGGTTTTTGCTTGTACTTTTCCTTTTGTTGAGCCACATGTCAATTATATAAGGTAAAACCTTCATAGTACTCGTTTAAAGTATTTAACAGAGCAAGAAAAATTACTATTATTGTATATATTCAAGAAGAGACCTCCTTTTTTTTATTCTTCATTTCCTGCTATGCTACGGTGTATGGAGAGAAAGTGGGAATGAATAAGTAAATGTGCTCGCTAGTGAAACATGTTCAGCATGAGATGAGACGAGAAGAGAAGAGATAGGTTGTGTATTGGTGGCAGGGAGATAAAACTTAAGTTTTGGAAGGGGGTTAGGTAAGGTAGTTACTACGAAGCTTTCGGTAGAGGCATGTAACCCTTTTGATCCCCTTTTTTGTTTGGGGGTGGGGGGGTTCGGATCTCTTCTGGAATCAGTCAATTTTTGGAGATGGAATAATAAGGGATGGGAGAACTCTATCTCCAGAAAAGACAGATGGCACCAGTTCAAAGGTGGGGGTGTACCTGGAAGTGAAGAATAAAGCAGAGAAATAGATCTCGGATCAAGAGGTGTTTGCTGCGTAACTTTCACCAACCTCTTCAGATTCGCCAAAAGTCATAGCTCCCACGTTTTGCATCTTAAATTCAAAGCCTTCTCCGTATCATCTCTGCGTCTTGGTTTCTACTCACCCACCAAGGGACCACAAATACTCGACTCCGTTCTGTTGTATATGATTCTTGCAACTATCACACAAGAAGTCGGAACGGCAAAGGCAGGGTCCATGTATGACGAAAGGGCGAGCACTAATGCGACAATTTGATCTGGTAGGTTGACAGAAGGCCCTGTTATGCCAATTCGATAAATCAACCGGTGTGTGCAACAATCGATGCCGTTATCATGTGTATCCGGCCCGACAAATCTTCCTGTCCACAGCGTCTTCTGTCTCAAGCCCCGCGTGGGACGAGGATTCCTCGGGTTCTGGAATATGAGAGGCAAAGGGAGGAAGAGCGTGAGGAACAGAACTGATAGTGGACGAACAAAGGATGGTGCAAGAACATAGGACGAAGGAGTTGAGGAGGATGGAGCAGGACGTGTCAATGGTGCTAGGTGAGTAAGGAAGACTTTACTAAATTCATAACCACACTGGCAAAGCCATCAAGAGATGGAAGACAAATCCTGTTCTTGGCACCTGCCCCAGACTCGCGGAAACGGGAATGCAGGTGCAAATGGGAACAGAAGCGGAGAAGACAACTCACCGCTACAGTTTCCAAACGGGATTTGATTATTGAGCATGACCAAGTAAAGGAGCAAGTCTCGCCAGAGCAAGAACAGGCAAGTCGAGCTTCGGATCGCTTCCGTGAAGAGGAGTTGACAACGCATAAGGTTGAGATGATGCATCTCTTGGGCATTCATAAACAGAGGACTGCAACTGCGAGTGTCTATTTCAAGAGGACCGGTGGGGCTATTCCGCTAGCTTCTTTGAAACTCTCAAAGAGGGCTGTCGACAATGGGAAAGAATGATCCAATGTATTGGAATGGGAACAAGTGAGAAAGCAGTGGAGAGAAGTAACGATGGCTTGCGAATCTGCTCGAAAGGAAGAGAAGAGAAGGCTGGGGACCCGAGGCGTTGGGTTGGGATGGGTTGACATGCAGAGACAATACTGGAAAGAATAAGAGAGTTAGGCAGTTCCTTGAAGCCTCTAAACATTTCGGTCGTTGCTCATGATCGTATCGTACCTCGGCGAGCCTCCGCAAGCTCCAACACTCGTGCAGATATTGCTTTCATTGTCTCAGAAGCCCCTCCATCGTTGACAACCAGAACTTGTCGCTTTCTCAGTCGAGGGTCCTCGACTCCTCGTCCCACATCGTGCATTGGTGCATGCTTGACTCGAATAGAGCGATGATTTGTGCCGCACTCTCACTTGCCAAGTTGCTTAGAGATCGAGGCGCATCGTGAGAAGACCTCGACTCAACCCCCTTACACGGGATCGACACGGGGCGCATCACGTGACCATCGACCCCCCCTGTGCTGCGTTGCATTGCGTTGCAGTTCAATGCATTGCAGTTCGGTGCATCGCATTGCATGATCAGATATCGCGGCAACTCCTCTCTGAACCAACATGGCGGCGCAACGAATGACGGCGCCCAACTCGAGCGCAGAGAGGGGCGGTCAGGGAACAGTCTCCCGCCTGAACGTCTCGTCCAGCCGCGCTCTCCAATCAGTGCGCCGCTTCGTCCCTCCGCAAAGCTAGTGCAGTGCGGCATGGGATGATTTGAATTACTTCAACTTAGGGCTGTGGCCTGTGGAGAGCGGGAATTCAAATCATTGTCCCAACTCCCATACGACGACCACCAGACGGCCCCGTCGACTGGCCCCTCAGACGCCTATCCTACACTGCTACACGGTGCACCGCGGGCATTGTCCCCGTTTCGCAACGAAGAACCTCTCTCCTCACCGCAGACAGAGGCGCAACATACCACGCCCTCCCTGCAGTAGCACCGCCGGCCTCTCCCTCGTCTGCGCAATAATTTGGAATTGCCTTCTCGCCCTGCGGCGCCTGAGGCCGCGGGTTTCCACCTTAGTTGTGGCTTCGTGCTCATGGCGGGGTCGTGAGATGGGTTCAAGGAGACAATGCTTTGGGTACAAAAGGACAGCGTCCCTCTGGCTATGATGGCTCTCTATACTGCCCATCCTCTCATACAGACTCAATTGCATCGCCCTTCTCACTTCTCATTTCTCACTTCTCTTACTTGATTTCTCTCCAAAACAAAAACCGCAATCATGGTCCAAGTCGGAGACGCTATTCCCAGCATTGAGCTCGTGGAGGGGAACCCAGGAGGGAAGGTCAACCTCGCCACTGAGTTGGCTTCAGGACCTGGTCTGATCATTGGTGTTCCAGCGGCTTTCAGTACGTCTACCTCCAATTGTCCTTTTCTGGGCTTCTTGCATCGATTCCAACACCGCAAGGAAACCCCGCCGAGCTGGCGCAAGAGTTTCCCAGCCAAGCAATGCTCCCCCCACACCCCCCACCCAAGAAGATACCCATGTATACACGAACATAAAGCTGCGAACCCTGCTGATCATAGCCCAGGCCCTGCCTGCAGCGACTCGCACATCCCCGGCTACATCAACCACCCGAAGCTCTCGAGCGCCGGCAAGGTGTTCGTCGTCTCCGTCAACGATGCTTTCGTGTACGCCCCCCCTTTCCTTTCCTTTCCTTTCCTCCCCTTGCCCCACCACCAGGCTCCAACCAATTAAACTATAACTAACCCGCCACAGCATGAACGCGTGGGGCAAGTCCCTCGATGCCGAGAAGAAGAGCGGCATCCGCTTCCTGGGCGACCATGACGGCTCCTTCACCCGCGCCCTGGACGTCGAGTTCCCGGCTGCCCCGTTCCTGGGCACCAACCGAAGCAAGCGCTACGCGATCACGACCCTGGATGGCAAGGTCAAGAGCGTGAACATTGAGCCCGACAACCTTGGAACTGATGGTGAGTCCTCTCCCTTATTTGCCAGTTCGAGGAGGAGGAGTTGGGTCAGGGCCAGGGATCTTCGGTTTCTGGAATCAAAAGAAAAGGAACATTTGCTAACAATACTTCGCACACAAATAGTCTCCGTTGCTGAGAAGATCCTCGCATAAATAATGACACGAGATGATACGATATCCTATTTATATTGATTGAATTTATATTTATCTACAGGCTGCCTAGTTTGGAACGTTTGGTTTGGGATAGAGGCGGCTGCAGGGGTGAGAGATGTTATATATTATATTATATAGATTAATATAATATGTATTCCATTCCATTCCATTCCATCGCCCTCTTCCTATCTACCTTATGGTGATATCGTGAACATAAAGATAGATAAAGGGGAGCCGGAAAGTTACCTGCTAGGTCGGCGGCTAAGGGGAGTGATGTGTGTCAAGTACCTAGGTACCTAACATAGCAAGTAGGCATAGCACCGCACTGCACCATATGAATTACCCACAGTAAGTAGGTAGGTTCAGGATTCTCTACCTATAATTCATAGATAATATAATAATATTATTCCAGGCTTTCCAAGAAAGCCCTTTCTTATGGTCTTACATAAATCTGCACACGCTTCCCCCCCAGAACAAACCCATCTGATATGCATCCACCACAAAGAACGCCTTATACTTTCTAAAAAAAATCCCACCAACTCATTCCTCATCCTCCTCCTCCTCTTCTTCATCATCAGAGATAGGTTCCACGATCAGATTCCCATTCTTCCCGATGAGTTCGCTGAGCGTGCCGGCGGCGTCAGGGGCGTAGACGACGCGGGGGAGGGTGGAGACGAGGCGGAAATCAAAGAGGTGCGTATAGGCTTCTGGTTTAGTTATCGAGGGGGTTTCAGAGGGGGAGCTGGAGTTGAGGAATTCGTAACAGTCTACGAAGGCGTAGAGTTCGTCTATGCTTGCTTGGGCTGAGAACCTTCGAGTGATCCGTGCTGCTTCTGGTAGCTTTAGGGCGATTCGTACTACGTCTTTGGAATCTGCCGGAGGTTCGGGAGCGATGTTCTGGGCTCGCCATTGTCTCCATTGTTTCTTCTTCTCTAGCAGAGCGGCTGCGGCTTCTGCTTGTTCTTTCTCCCGCCTTTCTTGTTCTGCGGCGGCAGCCTCGGCTTCTCTCTTTAATCTTGCGCGCTCTCGGTCCTGGGCCAACGAGCGTTCGTACGCTGAATCTTGCTCCTGCCGTAAGGTTCTCTCGAAGTTCTGTGCGTTCCGTGTTTCACGAACGGTTCGTAACTGCTCGGAATGAGAGGTGATTGCGGCTTGTAATTTTGCAATGTATGTGCCAGCTGGCATCGGCCCCGTCAATCGTGCAAGTACTGACATGGAAGTAGAGCTCTGTTGCGGGGTATGTGCTATTAACGCGGTAAAGGGAAATTTATTGCATCGTAAGGCGGTGGAGACCTGATATGCTTCTGAATCTCGGACATCGCCGACCCAGAGTATTATCTCATTAGTGGGGTTATTTAAAAAGTCCTGAACTTCGGTAGAGAGGAGGGTTTCGCGGATGAACGAGGGAGTATCGTCATGTTCGGGAGAGGTGATTATTATGAGGAGGAATTTGAGATCCTTTTTAGCCAGGTCCAATGCTTGTGCATAGCCGCCTTCAAAGAATGGAAGAGAATTCTCCCCGTATTCCTCCTCAAATTCACGTTTCAATCGAGCAGCGGCATCTCGGGGCCTCAGAGATCTCCTTCCCCCAGTATTCGATTGTCTGGTAGTTCCGGTGACAGGATTGGGCCTAAATATCCGAGGCAGAAAGGGTGTAAGGTAAGAGAAGAGCCCAAGTGTCGTGGAGAATAACCTATACAGAAGGTTGAAGGGTGTGAAGAGGAGGGCGAGAAGGAAGGGAGGTCGTCGAACGACTTGATCTTCGGGTTGTGGAACTATTCGAGGTGCATCATCCGGAGCATTTTGCTGTCTCGCCCGATTTGTAAAAGGCGAAGACCCAAGGAGGAGGCTCTCTTGAAGGTTCTCCTGTCGCGCAGCTCGAGGCGGGGGAATGTTCTGTGCTGCTATGGCTTCTGCGACTGGATCTGGACCCTCACCGTCGAAGAACTTGGCAATTGCAATCTACGCAGACGTTAGAGAATGCATATAGTATGTATTGACTACAGTTTCCTTCCACTCACTTGCACATTCCACTGAGATCGCTGGAGGAGTGGTATGGCCGCCTGGATGTCTTGATCCGTGACCGAAGTGTACTGTTGTAAGGCCAGCTGTTGCTCCGCAGACAGCTGGCTGATGTCAATTTCAGGTGCAGCCATTCTTGTGCCACGGTCTAGGACGACCTATTGTTTTGCTAGGCTTGCATGTCAGGAACCAGGAGGTTGACTTCTGGAGATATTGCTCCGTATAATATAGGTGGAATCTCTGGAAAGGCCATGAACGTCAAACTACGTAGCTAACCGAGCGATCGTGATCATTTACGGACAAGCCACATTTCGGAGAAAAGCGCCGATTCTCCGCGACTAGCAGGGGCGTCAAGCCTCAGGCCGTCAGCCTTCTGAGTTTCTGGCACGGGGCACGGGCTCATTATCGCCCCGCAGAAGTGAACATCAAAGGCATCGCGACACAGAATCACGAAATCGAAATCAACATACCAGCGTCAACGTCTCGGCGATGGACCTGTGATTTCCTCCACACCACGATCTGTATACACGCAGCTTGAGAAATACGAGTCCTGCTTCCCCGATGGGAGAGCCCCCGCCTACTCCGACCGCGTCTTGAGATATGTCCGCCAGAGTCAAGTAAGCGTCTTCCAGTGCCTGGCCTCACTTCAAGCATTATTACGCGTGTGTATCTGCTGGGCAAGCATCAATGCTTGCCAGCTATGCTTGCATGCTGCTGCGACTCAATTGAGACCCGTACTGACTTCTCGCAGGCTCCGTGACGTGTCATCGGGGTGTGGCAGATAGTTGACGAAAGAACCAACAATGGCGGCCACAAGGTTCCAACCAGAGTTGCGGAAGCCAGCGGGCTCTCCGCGACCAAGAGGACGCGGTATGTGAAGCTTGGCAGCTTGAAGGATGTGGAAGACCGGGCGCTGATACAAGACCCAGAAAATGCAAAGGACACTCTTTGCAGAAATGTACTGATATACGGCCATTGTCGCTATGAGGATCAGGGCTGTGCCTTTAATCATGATCCAAACAAGACGCTTTCTGCGCAACAAGATTCGTAAGTATACAGTCTCGTTTATTTAATGGATATACCCAAGGAGAGAAAACGAGGTACAAACATATGGCACCCCAGTTCCACTATCGTGTGTTCGTTCTCAATGGATCCAATATGTTGCAAGGCTCCTGGGTCAACGCTGTTGCTTGGATGTCGATGTCATAGGACTTAGCAGGTCCTGTAAGGCACTGGTTGAGGAGCCCAGGACGCGATTCCACAGATCTGAAATGGATATCGTAAATCTGGGCATCTTTTCCCAACAATCCTTTTAATCAACCCCAAACACCACACTCTTGTATTCCATGCCGCTACTCCCGCTGCCCGAAGAAAGCATGCTGCAATACGTCGACACTGGCAGCTGCATTCGCCTTGAACTAAAGTATCCACCAAACGGGCTTGAATGGGGACTTCAGTGGTGATTTACCTTCACCTGTGGACCACGGCAAACTCAGTTATCAATAGTCTTCTTGGCCATAATTGTACAAAAAAAGTCGCCTAGTTACTGACAAAGACAAATAGGGGCAGAAAATCCGCCAGGGGCATGTTTAATGTTGATTCCCCTTCATTTACTCCATCTACACTGCCTGTATCATCTAGCACAGGTGCTACGATTTCCTCTCAAGCTGCCAGTGCGGCTCCGTTTACGCCCCGTGGATTAGCTAGTGGTATGTAATAAATCATCAGAGATGCTTGCCTATACTAACATATTTAGGGACTGCTACTCCCGCCCCTCTTGAATCTGAGCCACCGGCCTTCAATCCGGCACAGATTAGAGAGTTTACACCTCAAAGCTATGATTTATCTCAGGCAGTAGGTGTTTCGCTCTTTTTTGCCCTCGCTTCTTCTAGCACATCCATTTATTCTTACCTGCCACGACAAAGTCAACAAACTCATCTGACATTGAAAAAAGGTTGCCACCAACGGGACAGGCACAGAATCGCAGGTTCCATTTGATCCATTTTCCATGTCCAGCGTAGCTCAAGCTATGCCTCCAACACCATATAATCCGTATCTCGAGGATACGAGCAGCCTCGCCAATAATGGAGCAGCTTATTACGCTGCTCAATCGACCTACACTGCTCCGGCTCAGCCGGTAAGTTTCCAGATTAGTATCGCACACGTCTGTTGACGTGTTCTAGCTCCAATATCACCTTTACGCTCCAATTGGGCCACACCGGGAGGATCTTTTAGCTTATCAGAGACTTACTCATGACTTCTTCATGCCGGAGAAGCTGCGAGAAGAACTACAAAAGAAGGCCGAAGCAACACTTCAAGTCATGCCAAGTATGTCTTCTTCCCCCGCGGATTGCCCAATTACTGATCACAGAAGACTCACAACTCCCCACCCTTGATAACTTCCATACCTTGGTCGCTCTGGATACTAGCCATCAAAAGAGTGCCACTGTTTTTGGGTTCCCCGGCTGGGTTTACAAGGCTACCTCAAGCAAGAATGGCAAAATGTATTGTCTGAGGCGACTTGAAGGTGAGAATATCCTTTCCCCTAAAACTACTATCGAGCATTGTACTGATTCCATCCAGGTTACCGTTTGACAAATGAAAATGCCATTAGATCTGTCAAGGATTGGCGACGAGTTGACAACGGAAGTGTTGTTTCGGTCATTGACGCGTTTACCACACGCGCCTTCGGTGACAGCTCACTCATCTTTGTCACTGATTACTTCCCATTGTCCAAGACATTGGTTGAGCACCATTCTACCAGTACCAATCGATTTGGTAACCGCGTTCCTGCGGCAGTTCCAGAAAAGGTCCTCTGGGGTTACATTGTCCAGATTGCTTCTGCCATCAAGTCTGTTCACGCTGCAAATCTAGCAGTTAGGTGCATGGACCCCAGCAAGGTCATCCTCACGGACAAGAGTCGCATTCGCCTCGGCGCATGTTCTGTACTCGATGTTGTCCAGTACGATGCTCAGCGACCACTTGCAGAACTGCAGCAGGAAGACTTCATCCACTTCGGAAAGCTCATCCTGGCTGTCGGCACCAATAACTTCTCACCGAATATCGTTCTAAAGAACGCTGTTGACCAATTGGGTCGAACTTATACCGCAGAGCTCCGTGACACTGTTGCATGGCTCCTAACTCCCGCTCAGGCGCCGGCGGTCAAGAGCATTGATGATTTCCTCAGTGGGATTTCTGGCCATCTTGTATCTACATTCGACAGCAGTCTGCATGCAATCGATTCGCAAACATCCGAACTCAGCCGCGAGCTTGAGAATGGCAGACTCTTACGTTTGATGGCCAAGCTTGGAGCAATCAACGAGAGGCCTGAATATGAAGGAGATAGGAACTGGAGCGAGAATGGCGAGCGATACATGCTCAAATTATTCAGAGATTATGTCTTCCATCAAGTAGACGCTGATGGTCGCCCGGTGTTAGATCTGGCGCATATTCTCCGATGCTTGAATAAGCTAGATGCTGGCATCGATGAGAAGGTTTGCCTGACCAGCAGAGATGAGCAGACTTCCTTCGTGGTTACGTATCGGGAATTGAAGAAGCAGGTGACTGCCGCCTTTGCGGAGTTGCAAAAGCCTGCCAAGGGTAGATACTGAAGGGTTGGATATTGATGGTAGTGATGGCGGTGATGGTACTTGCAATTAATCATGATGTATGGTACGCCCTGCAGAATAATGGCGAGGACATAGGTTGAATATGGAATAAGAAGCGGTAGATACGAGATTCATTTGCGATGTGTAGAGTAGACAGAAATACAATAAAACACTGATAAAACCCCACCGCTCTTCTGTTTGTGCGCGTCAGTGAGACTTGAATCCTTTTCTACTGCCTTTTTGGTATTATGATATCTGGCTACTCATTCTAGCCGTTCTGTCCAGCCGTCTGCCAGATGTGCAGTTCCATATGCCATCACGTAGTATCAAGTGCATCCCGGCAATGATAGCCCGCGGCTGATTTTCTCCACCCACGGACGTCCCCCAATTCCTCGCGCAGCATACTTTCCCAATCTCAATCCTGATGCATTCCTGATCATTCCTCTTGCTGCGCAAACGGGTTTGCAATTTCCTCACTCCCATCCACTGGGCTGACAAGTACCAGTAATGTTCCCCTCGCTACTACCAAGCCTAATGTTCTCGAGGATTCGTTGCCTTCATCGTCTGCAGACATGGTGATCAGTAGGAGTGCAAGAAGGGCTAACGGACAGCTAGGGGATATGCATACCACGAAGAACCTCGGAAACATCATCCAGCACCAGATTCATGAGCGCATCGTATCCTTTTAAGGTGCCCGTCACTATTTCTCCATTAGCCAAAAGAAGCCCCATGCCTCCTAATCTCTCTAAACCCGGGAAAGAGAAACTCACCCTCACGACCACCGGTAAACTTGACCGTAATCCGCTTGTCCATATACTTGCCCAAATCCAAAATATTCTCCTTCTTGGGCCTTTCCCTCTCCCCTCCAGCCTGCGCACCTCCTCCTCGTCCTTCCGCGTGGCCGCCTCGCCCACCGCCCCTGCCGCGATATTCGCCGCGCCCTCCTCCTCCTCCGCGGCCGCCTCGTGCGTGTGGTTGTGAGGACATCTTCTTTTGCTCGCTCGCTGCTGGGGTAGGTCCTTGGACGCGTGAGGCTGAAAATCAATCGTGCGAATGTGGGGGGACCGCGGAATGGACGCTGAGATGGCGCTACGCTGGAAGGAGACTAGGAGCGGCGGCGGAGGGAGGCGGGGGGGAAAGGCTTACCTAATACGAGAGCCGAGGCGCGGAGGGAGAAATTCCGCTGAGAGTGGAGGGAGGAAGGGAGGAAGGGAGGAGGAGGAACATTCCCGCAGCAACCAAGAGGAGAAATGCGTAGGCATCTGAGAATCTCCCTGCGATCCCTTCACTCAATAAATCGCTACTGACAACGACGAGCGGGATCCCAGTGTCTCCCTGAGAACGCTTTCCGCCGTTGTACAAGAGAAAAGCAGGCAAACAATCATCCCTTTTGGCGGGAAAGAGAAATTGATCTGCACCGCAGCGTAGGTTCCGCCGCCTCCCCGCTCCGGCCTCCCCTCTCCTCCCCCTCCCCAACTCCCCATCAGCATCAACACCAAACACTTCCAAAACTCCCGGACTCTCACTCTTTGGAGATCAACTGAGTCCGAGAAAAAGAGAAAATGGAGTCGCCCAACCCAGAATCCCCCGGAGCAAAGCGGAAACGCAGTCCTGTTGAGGAACCTGTCACGAGACCGCTGCCACCGCCGCCGCAAGTAGCTCACCCGAGCAATATTACGCAAATCAATTACTTGGTGAAGGCGAGAGCTGAGAAGCTGAAGTTGATTGAAGGGGATATGGACACTTTTGGTGATGTTCTGGCTATGATTGATGATTATGAAGGTGCGTGTTGATGTTTATACCTACCTGACAGCGTGTCTGACCCATCCATAGGCGTTCTCCAGCGCCATGAGAGTTTGGCCGCCAATCTTGGAGCCAAACTTACTGGACCTCTGCTTCTAAAGTCTTTTGAGAAACTTTTTGATGGCCCTATCAAGGTCGTTCAAGACTCTTTTGGTCTGGCTCAGTCACCCCCATCCTGGCTCGATATAGTTAACTTCGCGCGGGCCAGTCCTTCTGACTTCATCTTGAGTGAGGCGGGCAATGGTAGCAAAATCTGTCGCCTTTACATCCGCGGGGGACAAGTCGAGATCTCCGAGGAGGATTATCGCTTGGTCAAGTCCGGGGCCCCCGAGCGAGTGATCCCGAATCAACCTATCGCCGAAGACGAGTTGGCGGAAGTAGGCACGCTGAACATTCTCGAGGCTCGTCTTGCCATGCTCATCAAGAGAGCCGATGCAGTTGCCGGCAAAGCAAGACAACTCAACTATCATCTCAAAGGTCGGAAATCGGCCATCATGGCGCGGAAGGCTGGAGATCAGGCTGCGGTTGAAGGCCATCAAACACGCACATTCACAGCCCAACCTTTCTCCGCCATCAACGCCCGGTCACCAAACCCAGTTAGCAATGAAGCTGCAAAGTTACAGCAAGATCTCCTGGAACAGTTCACATCTGGTGATCGTCGCAGTCCCATGACATATCAGCCCCGACCGAAAGTTAACCGCATAAACACCGACGCCTTCCATACCTTTAATACAGGACCACAAGATTTCGACCGTCGGTTGTCCCAACCCCTCACAGGCTCCGACGAGAGCACTGAAAACCAATACCGGATCCGGATGGCTGCTAAGATCGAGAAATTAGCTCGAGGAGACGCCATCTACCCCCCATGTGACAGATGCCGACGTCTGAACTTCGATTGCACCAAGCATCTCACCGCTTGCACGGCATGCACAAAGAAACACGCAAAATGTTCGTGGCGGGATATCCGAGACAGCGAGCTGGGTTCGGTGCCGCAGTTCGCTAACGGGGCTTCTCCGCCAGCTGGCGAGAACGGCAGTCTTCACGGAAGTCCTCTGGCCGGGAATCCAGATCCTGGACCTGGGGCGCTTCAGGAGAAGAGGGGCAGCATGGTCGTCGAACCGTCGCAGCAGCAGAGGACGGGCGGAAAGGGTACCGAGGGCCATGCGCCTGTCCATCGACGAGCGGACAGCTTGGCGGAGGAGGGAGCTATATTAACGCAGATTGCTTCAGCGGCTACGGCTACTACGCGACCTCGTTGACTTTAAGGATGTGGATAGGGCGATTCCTCTCACGGTACGCATTTGCTAAGCTTCAAGCTGGTTTTTGCGTGGAGAAAAATGGGCAAGGAGTTATTCTCTGTGTTTACGATTATACCAAAAAGCTTGTATGATATGATATTCTCCTATCAACGTGGTTTATATACAATGTATAAGTTGCTAGTCTCTACCTAGTTAGGAGATTGAGATTGTGGATAAAGTTCTGCATCTACCTCAATGTTAGGATTAAGTCAAGGAATTTTTATAACAGTAATTGATACTGTACCTTATTTAAACGCTTTTGATTTTTTGACTGTCCATCGTCTTTTTCAAGTTCCTAAAGATCCAAACGATGTCTTTTCGAACTTGTTCCTCGGAAAATTCTATATTGTGAGTAAGGGAGGGAAGGAAGGAAGGAAGGAAGGATCCAACCCCCTATCCAATGCGCGCAAGACATTCTTTATAAACGCAGCAGCTCTTGGGAGGAATAAATAAGTAATTCATTTAAAATTTCGTTTTGTTTCATCTAGTTGGATGAATATTCCTTGGTTTCAAAATACACATACCGCTCCTCCCCTTTCTCTCCCTCTATAATCTTCACACCTCACACCTCACGCTTCACGCTCTAATCACGCGTCCTTAACTAGGTATCGACACACGCACAGCATCGCCGTCCCCTCTCTTATTCTATCCCCTCCCCTACTATATGCACGATCTGTGCTTTATCTATATGTATATGCATGCGTATATGTATGTATGTATGTACGTATGTTGTGTAGCGGAGAGAAACTACGGTGGAGACTATGAAATAGAGGAGGAACGAATAGGAGGTAAGATCAAGGTCAAGATCAAAGATACTACTGCAGGGAGAAACTACCAATATATGAGACAGAGGAAAAAAACGATCGATCTTTATTGCTAACATTAATATATAAACAGACAGACATACAATCTCGCGGATCAAAAAAAAACTAGACTAGCCATCAGGGGGGGTCATAAGCCATCTCTCATGCGCTGAGCTGAAAACACCGACATTGTGTGAAGCAAAAGGGTATAGAGCATGCATCTCGTCGAATCGAACAGATCTTAAAACCGCAATCCACATCATCGGCGTAACATAACATTCCACCCATTATTTCTCATTCTTTGTCATCTCCCCCTAATATTCATATCATATCCATATCCATTTTTTTCTGGGTGGTGGTTGTTGTTGTTTGTTGTTGTTGTTGTTGCTGTTTTTTTGCTCTGTTATCCCTTCTACTTCTCTACTACCTCTCTTCTACCTCTAATATGAATGAATTATCATAACGCATCTCTTTAGTTTCCGTTCTCCTTCTCCTCGGTGACCTCGCTCACTTCAGCCTTCGCGGCCGGTGCTGGGATAGCTTCGATGACCGACTTGAGGGAGTCGACCTTCTCAATCACGGCTTCCTTTGATGCCGAGATGTCGGATTTGACGGCTGCGATGCTGGTGGTGATCTCCGTGGAAGTGGTGGAGTTCTTGATCTCGGCTAGGATAGCATCTTGAGCGTTGATCGCAGAGAGAATGTCGGCGCTAGATGAAGCAGACTTGATCTCGGAGAGGGTGGTGGTCTGAGTGTCGAGGGTGGTGATGATTGTCTTGACAGAGGTCTCGAGAGGAGCGAGGTCGGTCTTCTCAGCGGGGGTGGATGTAGCCGTCTTGATCTCCTCCAAGGTAGTGCTCTGAGCACCTAAGGTCGTGATGACAGTCTTGACAGACTCTTCAATAGGGGCGAGGTCGACCTTTTCAGCGGCTGGTGCTGGGGTCGATGCCACGGTCTTGATTTCTGCCAGGGTAGCAGACTGGGCCTCGAGAGTGGCAGTTTGAGAGCCCAATGTCGTGATGACAGTCTTGACGGACTCTTCGATCGGCGCGAGATCAACCTTCTCGGCGGGGGTGGATGTAGCCGTCTTGATCTCGGCCAGGGTGGTGCTCTGAGCCTCCAGAGTGGCAGTTTGAGCGCCTAGGGTTGTGATGACGGTCTTTACAGACTCTTCGATAGGGGCGAGGTCGACCTTCTCAGCGGCGGGTGCTGGGTTCGATGCCACGGTCTTGATTTCCGCGAGAGTAGCGGACTGGGCCTCCAGAGTAGCAGTCTGGGCTCCCAATGTCGTAATGACGGTCTTCACAGACTCCTCAATAGGGCTGAGGTCGACCTTCTCTACGGCAGGGGCAGGGGCAGAGGCAGCGGCCTTGATTTCATCGAGAGTAGCGGACTGAGCTCCCAAGGTGGTGATGACGGTCTTGACAGACTCCTCAATAGGAGTGAGGTCGACCTTCTCAGCGGCTGGTGCTGGCGCGGAGGCAGCGGCCTTGATCTCCTCCAGGGTGGCAGTCTGGGCTCCCAATGTCGTAATGACGGTCTTCACGGATTCCTCGATAGGTGCAAGGTCAACCTTCTCAGGGGCAGGAGCAGGGGCAGAAGCAGCAGCCTTGATCTCGTCGAGGGTAGCGGATTGAGCACCCAAGGTGGTAATAACAGTCTTGACAGATTCTTCAATAGGGGCAAGGTCAACCTTCTCTGCTGCAGGGGCAGGGGCAGAAGCAACGGCCTTGATTTCATCGAGAGTAGCGGATTGAGCACTCAGGGTAGTGATGACAGACTTCACAGACTCCTCAATAGGAGCAAGGTCAACCTTCTCAGCTGCAGGCGCAGGGGCAGAGGCAGCAGCCTTAATCTCGTCCAGGGTAGCGGATTGAGCACCCAAGGTGGTGATAACAGTCTTGACAGATTCTTCAATGGGGGACAGGTCAACCTTCTCGGGGGCTGGGGCAGGGGCAGAAGCGGCGGTCTTGATTTCGTTGAGAGTGCTACCCTGAGAGTCCAAGGTGGCAATGATAGACTTGACGGAAGACTCGAGACCGGTAAGATCAGTGGGTTCTGGGACAGGGGCAGGGGTGGACGTAGCGGCCCTAATCTCGGCCAAGGCGGCAGCATGAGCGGTGTGGGAAGCGTTGGAAGCGTTGACGCCCTCCAGGATCTTGGCGCTGGAGTCGTTGTCCTTGAGGTCGGTCTTGAGAGAGGCAAGGTCTGCTGAGATGGTCTTCAGCGTAGAGCTGGTCTCCGCATTGTCCTTGATAGCAGCCAGTTCCGTAGCGATGTTGTCGAGCTTGGTGGTGTGGGAAGAGAGGATAGATGTGTCCGGAGAAGCGACTTGTGCCTGGATTGATTTGAGATCCGAAGCAATGCCATCCAACTTCTCAGTGTGCGAAGACAACAATGAAGTGTCTGGTGAAGCAACCTGCTGCTGCAGCTCCTTCACGCTGTTCCCCAGCTCTGCCAACGACGAGGTGATCTGTGCCACAGCTTGTTCGATAGCAGACACCTTGGCCGCAGTTGCGGAGCTGCTCGATTCAACTGAGCTGGACAGGTCTGCGAGCTTGCCAGTTGTGGAGGTGTTGATCTCGTCGACTCGTTTGGAGAGGCCATCGTTTGCAGCAAGGAGCTTCGATTCGACAGAGGAGACATCTATCGCTGCCTTGAGAGACGGCTGCAGCTGCGAAGCCAAGTCCGTGGCCACGGCCTTGGTGAACACATCGGTCTTGAGGGCAGCCGAGACGGCGTCGGTGACGGCCTTCTTGAACAGCTCCTGCTCTTGAGCTTGCTCTTCAGGCGAAGACTTGATGGTGGCGGGCGGGCTGGACTTCCCCCAGACACGACTGAACCACGATTGAGACATTGCATTCACCAGAGCGACTGGTAAGTGGGAGATGCTCTTAATTAAGGACATCCGCAAATGATCACGCGGCGTTGAGAAAGAGAGAGAGAGGAAACAAGAGAGAAGAAGGGGAGAGAAGGAGACGGGGACCCTGGATGTCTTATGTTTACAAACCCTTTCCTCGCATCAGGGCTTCCTGCACCACGCATAACTTTATGCGTTATGCGTTGTTGAAGAGATTTTCATAGGCTGTTCAACCGTTCCTCATTTCCTGACTGGTGCAGATCGGTGAACTGCGTTGTCCGGTTGATGTTGAAATTTTTTCCCGCCGTGGCGTCATGTTTTTCCGCTCCGAGCCGGCTCCCCGGGCCTTGTCTAAGCACACTTCGAGGCAAGATCTGCACTCCCTTGGGCGTTTTTGAAGCTATTCCCAGATCCTATATCAACGGCAGGTAAACAGCCATTTCTCCGTCAGAAGCTGTCTTCTTTTGGGTCGGTCTTTCTTGGGCTCATGCGGTCGTTCTATCATGCTCCAAGTGTCTCTGTTCTGCTATCACACCTGCAGTCTCCTTTTGCCTTTCATTTTATTACCAGCGCAGAAACCCCATAATCAAAGAGAAATCTCTTTCAAGCAGGGCTTCATACTTCACACACCATCTGAATCCTATCCCTCCCAACCCTCCATCCATCCAACCCTCCATCCAAACCCCAAACCCTCCAACCCCCCATCTCATCTCATCCCATCTCCCCTTCTTCCCTCCCACTCCCCCTCTCCCCTTCCCAAATTCTTCCCTCCCAAACCCCTCTCCCAAACCCCTCTCACTACCTTACCTTACCTACCTTTCTTCCCTCCCAAGTTCCCAACCCTCTTCTTACCCACCTCACAATCCACCACGCACCACACAATCCACAATCCACCATTCCACCGATCCCTCGACCCCACAATCCCGAACTATCCGCGCCCATCAACTAATCAAGTCTCCCAATCCCTCTCGGTGCCGCTCTCGATTACTCATATCGGAAGAGATCCGGACTTCTCTGTCGAGTCTGGGCGTAGGCAGGCAGGTAAGCAGGTAAGAAAAAGGGAGACAGGTAAGAATAAGATAAGTAAGTAAGGTAAGTAGTAAGGATATAGAAAGGATATAGAATATAGCCTTTCTATCACTCAACTCAACTCAACTCTCTAATCTATCTATCCACATCCACACTCAGCCCAGCACAGAACCAAATCTAAAATCTCAAATCTCTCTAAGAAGCTTTGCGAAAACGCATGCACCTCATTATATACCTACCTTACCTTACCTGACCTACCTCAGAGTGCCATTTGTTTTCAAAGTTCATTTTATCCCAAAATAACAAACTAACTAACAAACTAATATTTTCCAAGAATAAATAGCATCCATCTCAAGAAGATGAATGATGTTTATTTTATGAAGGAATGTAGAGATAAATTGTCTTATGTTTTTTTTATATATATTACTGTGTTCTGTGTTCTATAAGGTAGGTAGGATATATGTGTGGCTTTCAGTCAGTCAGTCAGTCAATCAGTCAGTCAGTCAATCGCATGGTATAATCAGGATATCAGGATTTATAGAAAAGAAAGAAAGAACGAAAGAATACTTTGATTGATTGAACGAGGAAGCAAGCGGTCGTCCCTGAAATCAAGCCTGACTGACCTGCTAACTCAGCTATTAAATCCATAGACGGGAGTTGGTTACCCATAGTATATTAACTTCCTGACCCTCCCTACCAATTTCCACCCAACGCCCTGCTTTCCTAGCCTACTTAGAAACCATGGCTATCCTATCCATCCCCATGATAGAAAGACCTAAAACTCCATTGAATGTCGTATCTTCATGCTTCTTCGCTTCTAAGCCCTCAATGATATTCCTGCGGCATAGCAACTTCCCTACCCTAATCTTGCTCCTCACTATGCTCATCCCCATTACTCTCAGCGCCAGTCTCGTTATGACCATGATGAGCATGATTATGGTGGTGGTGATGATGCTGATGATGCAGATAATGCTGATGCTGGTGTTGATGAAGATGAAGATGATGATCCTTCGACAATTCCTCGCTGAACTCATTCGAGACTTTCCAGAAAGCCGTTGGGCCGGCAGGACCCTCTCGGTTTCGTCTTCTAGAATAGACAGTCCTTTCAGTATAAAGTCTTGGGCTATTGAAGCTTTGAATATGGGGAAAGGATGAGGGAGCATGGTGTTTGCAGGAACTTGATTTGTAAGATATCTGGTTTGAGAGCCATCCAGAGAGGAAGAGTTTTGGTATGTGTGGTGGGATGTCATCGTTGGAGCTGGACCAAGCCATCTTATTCTCTCATTGAAGAACAACAGAATGGATGAGCCGGGAAAAGCCAAACCCGATCAGTTTATTCTCTTGTAGTTCGACAATTGTTCAATTATGGCTCTTCTAGTGAGCCAATACATTTCGAAATTGCAGAATGTCGAGGTCTGCTCGGCCAAAAGATCAAATGCCAAATCTCTTGCTCTCTCTGGATAGGCTCTCAAACCTGATATCTTGCAATGCAAGGTCATACATTACTAGCGTTTGAAGGGACAAGGGGGAGGACTTACATATCAGACCAGAATCCAAGGACACCTCTCGAGGAACGAACACCGCCCACCTGTACTCCTTCGCTGGACCAACGTGTCTCACTGCAGTGGAATCAGCGGGAAGCTTAGTGCGGGGTACATATATCAAACAGTAAGAAAGGAGGGTGCAGAGGGGAGGAGAAGGATGGCGTACCCAACATAGACGGAAAACGTTGTCCACCTCACGTCACCCTTCTTAGTCGTTCGTACTGTGCCACGAACGAATGAAGTCGCATCAGGATCAAAGGTCGTGTGCATCGCTTTTGATTTCCCCTTAAAAGACACAACAGGCATCCCTTGGTCGTCATCCGCACCTGGTTCTTCGATGTCGGTTACGTGGAGCTCCATGGTAATGAGGCGGACTGCTTCGGTGGTGTCTAGGGGTGGACGAGGAACCCCAGGTCCAGGATCATCGTCGGCAAAGTTGTAACGGAACAGCTCTTGGTAGTCTAGCTAGTCAGTCAGACTTGAGGATCTCGAAGTATCATGCCCGTTCGATACCTCCAGGGCAAACCCAGACCCATATGGTTATGGAAGAAAGTCATCTTAACAGAGAGTCGTACAATTGTCTTTTGTGAGAAGACATTCAAAAGAAAAATCCACCTACCGAGGAAACATACCACGCGAAACCAAGTCCCCGAGATGTTATACGGGTCCCGAGCATCAACAGGCGGGGCAGGCTGTTGATACCTTTTCAACGAGATCGGCACAAAGCTGTCTGGCGACACTCCTTTGAAAGGAACATTCCACACCGGTTTGAACCTTCCTTTTGTGCGATCTGTAAACAGCCTCAGGCTATGCGCCAGTATCATCATAATCGCCTCCATTTTCTCCCAATCCACTGTCAGGACGGGATCATCACGATACGGGCCCCAAAGGCTGGCATCCGAGTGGTTGCGGAGATCATAGACAATGGAACGGGCATAGGGTAAGTGTCTGATGAACCCCATATGTCGGGGCACAGGGACGCCATACAGACAGTGGAGCTGGGCACTCGCTTGGCCATCTTCGAAAGGGGGCGTTGGAGTGATGGGTACTACAGCCTGTCTCGCTCTGGCCCAAATACGGGATTGGTACAGGAAAGCCACTTGGTCGCGGGGGTCTCGAAAGAACTTAGATATCAGAGCAATGTTCTTCGAGTTCCGGGCGTCAGCCGTTTCGGTATAGCTTCCAACAACATCTCTGACGAATTGTACGTGAGGCTTCTATCATAACGTCAGTCCTTTGGAGCATGAATAACAAAACCAGAAGGAAAATCTTTACTGGCCTTGGCATCAACAGTATCAAATCCAATGATCCTCTCCAACTTGACCAGCCTCTGCAGCTCTATCTCCCACGCCCAATCTTCCCCATTCTTCTTGACGCGCGGAGGCTCATCCTAATTCTTTGTAAACCCAAGCACATTCAAATTTGCAAGACAATCAATCAATAATTACCAGGATTTGAAGATAAACGTCTTTGAAGAGGATCCGGTTGCCAGATATGAGTTCGTGGAATGCGTGACAGGTGAGCCTCAGCGATGCAAGGTCCGTGATCTTGACCCCGCTGAAGATAGCGTGCAGTATCTCGTGGGGCAGGCTGGCTAGGATAGCCATCCCCAATATGTACACCCAGAGGCACAGATCAGGGATAGAGAAACTGGGGTATGTGTCTTTGGTGAGATTCTGGCAGAAGAAGATGTCGTTGATGCTTCAACGTTCGGAGTTATCGATGCGCGGGGGGCAGCTGCGATAACGATCCAGACAGGGAGCCGAGGCAAGGCTGAGTCACGTGAGTCCGCAGAGATCACTCTTCTCCCCCCCCCCCTCCAGGACAGCAACTCTTAGAGTCTGTATTTTCTCTCTTTTCTCTCTTCACAAATAAAGACATACCTGACTGACTACCAGTCTCTGTATCTTTGCTCTTCGTGACGTAGGTAGGCGAAAGTTCTCCTATCTGAATCTGTCTGATTACCATATCTATATACCTACAATCCCAATCCAACCAATCCAACCAATCCAAAATAAACACATCATAAAATATACCAATCCCCCAATCCCCCCAACCCAGAGAGTGAGTCATCTCATAAAAGATTGCCTGCTGCTATCAGATCAGATCAGATATGTACGATTGATTGATTGTGTTGAGGGCAATAAATAAATAGGTAAGGTAAGCAGCTGATTGAAAGGTGTATATGTGCACAGATAGAAGCAAAAATGGGGTTTATAAGAATGGAGAGCAAGTTAAGGTAACACTGGATTAATTGAGTATTGCGTGTGGACTTTTATCTTATTGTATAGGGAGGGAGGGTTTTATAGTGCAGTGCGTATTGATAATAATGAGAAGCTTTCACGGTATTTAA